CCACTCACCCACTCACCCACCCCCTATCAGCACCACCCCACCCTAAAAAAAAAAAAATTTAAGTTCGTTTTTAAAAAATATTTTCAACTTCAAAATTTTAATTTTTCTTATAATGCAAGGGCCAATTCAAAGAACAAGGAGACGAAAAAAATTATCAATAAATAAATTTCTTAGTATTATTTTTTAAGTTTTATGCATGATGTTTTCAATCTTGAATTATGGTTGTTGTCTCTTTTTGTTGTGTTTTGATTATATTGTATTTTTATTACTTTCTATGTCTTATTTTGTCTGGCATTGTTTCACTTGGTATGGCGTTTAAGAAAAAAAAAATTACTGTTATTAATAGGATCATATATTTGTCTGGTCAAAGTATATATTTTTAAGATTAATTAATTACTCTATCAAGGGTATAATAGGAACAATATGGTAATTTATGCTTTGATCTTTTGATGATAAGTATTAAGTATGATTTATGAACCAACTATTTATAGAAAGTAATGACATATAAAAAGCAACAGAGAGAGTATTGACCCAAGTTGGAAATGAGTGATTTTTTCTATTGACCCAAGTTGAAAAATATTATTTTAGAGAAATTATTAATTTAGTGAACTCTATGCGTATGAATGCATTATTGCGGAGGTAGTAATCTTTGCATGCTTAATGACCATTGATATTACCCAAGTGAAATTGACCATCCACATCTCATTTTGGCATTTAATTCAATATAATTTTTACTAAGCTGACACTTATTTTGGGACGGATCCAAGTAGCCAAATTTTAAATCTCTAAATAGTCCATTTTCATGAGATTTTTAAAAAAAAAATCAAAACATCTGAATTTGAATACTGTACATGGTGTTGCAAGATCAAAAGAAAAAAGGTTACAATGAATAACCTTAGTATAATTGTTAGTATGGAACTATATAAAGGGTGCAATAAAGTAGTTACACTCAAGAGACATGTCAAATTAATACATAGTTTTATTTGCTTGGACAAATACAAGTACAATTTAGCTTTATATATACATCTTAAATCTTGTGGAGAATGATTTTAACTCCATGTTGTGGACGAAGCATATAAAGCTGAACAGGAGAGTGAACATAAATTGGTGAAATTGTGAACATATAACGTTGTAGAATCATTGAAAGAGTAATTTTTGCTTCGATCATTGCAAAGTTCAACCCTAAACAAGTTCGAGGTCCATAGCCAAATGGCAAGTATGCTACTGGATTGTTGTTTGTAGCTTTAACAACCCCTTCAGCAAATCTATCTGGTTTGAAAACATGAACGTCTTCTCCCCATATTTTACGATCATGATGAACTGTGCTAATGGTGATATATATATAGCAGCATTTTAGGTGGTAGGGTACAATCTTAGAGATTCGTCAAGAATCATGTTTATCTACTAGATCAGGTTGCAGTAGAGAAAATTTGGCCCTATAGTTAAGTGAAATGAGAAACAGAGAAAATACAAACTAAGTAAAACAAGAAGAATGTGTGATAAGTCTTTTAAATTTACCATATAGTTTCTTCAAAGAAAATATATGAGGTAGAATTCTTGGAAATATGTCATGTGATAAGTGATCCATGGCGTCGTTTATGGAGTTTTTTTTTTCATTTCCTCAATCTCTTTGAAGTTTCCATGTAGGAACTTGTAAGGAGGACCTTGTATACCTTGAGATTTCATCATAAATTGTACATGAAATGGAGTCCAACATAGCTTCTTAATGATCCTAACAAGGATCACTAACAAAGAAATGAAAAGAAAACTCGCGAGAATGATTATCATCATCATATGATTTCTAATGTACTTGACTAAGGTTGAGAATATGAGCTCAAATATTGGCTTCACTAATAGCATTTCAAAACACCATTCTTGTTTTTGCTCTTGACAAAGATCTCGATGAATAGACGGTGTGGACCGTGAAAGTTTAGGTAGTCGACAACGACTACAATGGATAATTTCATGCCAAAATGAGAAGTCTCAATCTGTGTACATTTTTTTCTCTTGGAATAACTAATGGCCATGGGAGGAAGACATCATTTTAATATCATCTTGATTTGATATCCATTGTCTTTATTTTATCTGTCTTTTATTGCAAGGATTATAATAAAAGCCATGATAATATGGAATCAATAATGTTACAATTGTATAATATTGGGTGCTTATGCAAGTGTGGTCCTAGCTATTACAATAGAAATCAATAATGGCATACATTGTGTCTGAACTTAATAACCTTTTTAGCATGGTTTTTAACAGTCATAATTTCTTAAAATTAATCAATCACTCTACTAAACGTAGTTTCGTTTTAGATACTTTGATCTATGTGAATGCTCAGAATTATAATCCCAATCACGCAAAACGTATTTAGATTTTGATACACTATATCATAAACAATCTCTCGACCTTCACAAGGTAGGGGTAAGGTTTGTGTACACACTATATAAGTAAAGTGTGATAATCTCTCTGACAATTTAAAACTTTTAGACTATGTTGCTCGGACTCTCCAAATATATATTGCTGTACCTCTGTCAGATTCTCCAAAAATGCTCTACTTTTGGAGTATCCAACATGCACTCATCGACATGTTTTGAAGAGTCTGAGCAACATAGGTTTTTGATGAGGGTGTTGCTTACTGTTTTTAGTCTTGCAATTGCATCAGAAGTTGTTTTTTCGAGGCCACAGAATGCAACCACTTCCTTTCTGGCTTTTTCTTGCCATTCGGGGTGAAGTGCTAAGAGAAAAACAGACCAGCCAAGTAAGCTTGTCGTTGTAAGATGACCAGCACCATACAATGCTTTGATCTCGTCGATCATTTGATCTAACGTGATACTCTTGTTCGTATCTGGTTCGTGCAAAAGCTTCAGAAGTTGCCCCAGGTAATCAGTCCCAAAATTTTCAAACATTCCATCTTTGCTCTTTTCTCTTTTCCTTATAAGCTCAAGAATGGAGCTCTTGATCCCTCTTTCAAGTTTCTCTGCTTCAATTTCATCATCTGTTCTTATTAGCATACTGCAAAATTGAAGAAATGAATAATTAAGAACGAGGCATAAACATCCTAACGAAATTCCATTAAATAGTATGCAGACTACCTGATTCCAGGAAATCTGACAGTGTAAACATTTTTTACAGTAATTGCAGTCAATTTTGCCACCATCTCGAAAATATGTTTGCCTTCCATGTAGCTGCTTCCAAATGCTGTCCTAGAAATTACTTCAGTTGTTAACAGTCTAAAATCCTTAAGCATATCGAACTCTTTTCCTTCGTGTTTTCTCATCTTTCTAGCATCTTTTGAACACTTTCACTCATTTCTGGCACCATACGCTGTACATAATTTCTTATCCGTTCATTCCAAGATCAGTACGTTAACGTTTTAAAGACAAAATAGTGATATTGTTAAGCTCTTAAGTCTTACTTTCAGGCTTTCTGCATGGAAAGTGTGGTTGGCCAGTTTTCTTACTTTTCCCCATTTTTCTCCTTCATTTGTTACAAGTGATTCCCCTAGTAGTTTTTTCGCATAGCCTTCCATGTCCATTTTCGGATAAGTGTCTTCTTTGTTGGACAATATTTCTTTGATCAGCTCTGGTTCAGTCACAAATAAGTATGGTTTTGAGCCATGCCAAGTGATGAAATTCCTCCCTGTCACCAAACAAACCAAACACAACGAACAATTAAACAATTAGTTTAAGTTCTATACACTAATGATGACGTAACTACACAAATGATTGTGTGCATACCATACATCCTTGTCCATGTGTAAACATGAGGTTGAATTCTTGGAAAAATGTCATGAGAAATATCCACCATAGGTTTATCCATAGTTTGGCTTCTCATTAGGGATATATCTTTGGTATTTCCATGAGGAAAGCTATAAGAAGGACCTTTAATGCCCTGAGAGCTCATTTTATTTTGTGTTTGAAGTGGCATTAACCATACTAAGTAAACGAATTTTACGAGTGTCCATAGGAGATAGACGCAAAGGGTAGTGAAGAAGAAGACTAAGATAATTTTCCCTGTATCCATCTTTAGGTAGTTAGGTTTTGAGTTGCTGATGGCTATGTGAGGAAGACATCGTTTTAATATCATCGTGATTTGATATCTATTATCTTTTATTATAATAATATGGACTCAATAATGGTATATTATATTAGGTGCTTATGCAAGTGTGGTCCTAGCTATTATAATATGAAATCAATAATGCTACAATTGTATAGTATTTGGTGCTTTTGAGTATATTTAAAAGGTGAGGTTTTATCTTCAGTACAAGTGATCGAGATTAAGAAGAAAAATAAGAACTCGTGAATTCAGAAGCTTTATTTATTGTACATCATTTAGAGACATTGATATACCTAAATGGATTCAAGGACAACTTTAACTCCATCTTTGGGAGTCAAAAGGAAAATATCAGATGGATAATGCACATAATTAGGTGACAGAGTGAACTTATAACGCTGCAAAATCATCGATAAAGTAATCTTTGCTTCGTTGGTTGTGAAGTTCAGACCAACACAAGTACGAGGTCCCGATCCAAAGGGAAAGAATGCTGCTGCATTGTTGTTAGTTGCTTTAGCTACCCCTTCTGCGAACCTCTCTGGTTTGAAGACGTGAACGTCTTCACCCCATATTCGAGGATCATGATGCAGTGCCAGAATTGGCATGAAAATTGTCATGTTAGCTGGAAGAGTCATGCTCCCTAGTCTAACTTCGCGTTCAACTTTCCTTGTCACTATAATAACTGGAGGATACAATCTCATACATTCATTAATTATCATATTCATCTGCAAGAAACGACAAAAAGAAACTGTTGGAGATATAATTAAGTAAATAAAAGTGTGATCTCACTAAGCAGGCAGAGGTCTTGTGTTCAAGTTTCACCACCATCCATTGTTAAAAAGAACTTCCACGTGCATGGCTCGTGAAGAAGGAGCAGGCCGACACGTGAAGGGGCATGTTTAAGATATAATTAAGTAGATAAAAATGTACTCTCTCGAACAATGCAAGCACAATTCAAGTCTGAGAGTGTTGCTTACTGTTCTTAGTCTTGCAATTGCATCAGAAGTTGGATTTTCAAGGCCACAGAATGCAACAACTTCCTTTCTGGCTTTTTCTTGCCATTCGGGATGAAGTGCTAAGAGAAAAACAGACCAGCCAAGTAAGCTTGTCGTTGTAAGATGACCAGCACCATACAATGTCCTGACCTCGTCGATCATTTGATCTATTGTGATACTCTTGTTCGTGTCGGATTCATGCAAAAGCTTCATAAGTTGTCCTAAGTAATCATTCCCAAACTTTTCAGACATTCCATCTTTGCCCTTTTCTCTTTTACTTACAAGCTCAAGAATGGAGTTCTTGATCCCTCTTTCAAGTTTCTCTGCTTCAATTTCATCATCTGTTCTTATAAGCCAACTGCAAAATCGGAGAAAACAAATAATTAAAAACGAGGCATAAACGTCCTAACGAAATTCCATTAAATAGTATGCAGACTACCTGATTCCAGGAAATCTGACAGTGTAAACATTCTTTACAGTAATTGCAGTCAATTTTGCCACCATCTCGAAAATATGTTTGCCTTCCATGTAGCTACTTCCAAATGCTGTCCTGGAAATTACTTCAGTTGTTAACAGCCCAAAATCCTTGAACACATCGAACTCTTTTCCTTCGTGTTCTTTCCATCTTTCTAGCATTTTTTGCACACTTTCACTCATTTCTGGCACCATACGCTGTGCATATTCCATCCGTTCATACTAAGATCAGTACTTTAAAATTTTAAAGACGAAACTACTGATATCGTAGAACTCCAAGTACTTACTTTCAGGCTTTCTGCATGGAAAGTGTGGTTGGCCAGTTTTCTTACTTTTGCCCATTTTTCACCTTCATTTGTTATAAGTGCTTCCCCTAGTAGTTTCTTCGCATAGCCTTCCATATCCATTTTCGGATAAGTGTCTTCTTTGTTGGATAATATTTCTTTGATCAGCTCTGGTTCAGTGACAAACAAGTATGGTTTTGAGCCATGCCAAGTGAGGAAATTCCTCCCTGTCACCAAACACAACGAACACTTAAACGGTCAGTTTAAGTTCTATACACTGATGATGGTGTAATTACACAATCAGGTCACTTATAAGATAATTACAAACAATTACAAAGTCAGGATTATCACTAATATATAGAAATCAAGGGGATTCAACTATGTAATATAACAAAAAAACAACTTTGACCTGATATATACAACGTAATTCTTCAACAAAGGGAGTTCAGACCCCTTTGCACCCCTCTAGCTCCATTGTTAACTACATATAAAACTAGTACTTACCTGCTATCATAGATTAAGCTACACAGACGATACAAGAAATATTTACACGGGCCTATATAACTTAAATCCACAAACGATTGATTTTCTTACCGTACATCCTTGTCCATGTGTGAATGTGAGGTTGAATTCTTGAAAAAATGTCATGAGAAATATCCACCATAGGTTTATCCATAGTTTGGCTTCTCATTAGTGATATATCTTTGGTATTTCCATGGGGAAAACTATAAGAAGGGCCTTTAATGCCCTGAGAGCTCATTTTAATTTGTGTTTGAAGTGGCATCCACCATACTAAGTAAAAGAATTTTACGAGTGTCCATAGGAGATAGAAGCAAAGGGTAGTGAAAAAGAAGACTAAGATAAGTTTCCCTATATCCATCTTTAGGTAGTTTAAGTTATGATATGAGAAATGAGTGAAATGCATCATCTCTATTTAACTTTGAGATTAAATTTAAACAAAGTTTTTTTGATAATGATGTGTAGGGAATCTATATGATGGAATATAAAGACAGATACATTTAGGTAACAGTTTTGTCATTATCATATACAGTTCAGATTTTTATTAGCTTTTAATTAAATTTTAGGTTTACCAAACATGACATTTAATTAAATTTTAGTTGTACAATTGACCTTTTTTTAAATTACTAAAATTTAATTAAATATCATATAGTTGTGTAGTTAATGGAGAGGCAATTTTAAGACTGAAACTAACATTAGGGGAATATGTGATTAAATAGATGGAACGAGGACATTTTTGAACCATTTCTAATACTTAAGTGCATTTTTGAACCTTTTCCGTTTAGATTTGCCTTTATGCTTACATCAACAAAAACACGAGGAAATGAAAACTAAACCTGGAAATAAAACCCTTCTCTGCATTTGAGTGCAGCTGTTCACATTGAAATGTCTATACACAAAATTTCCATCCTAAAATATAATCATTTTCCTGTCATAAAGTTGGTAAGTATTTGTCCTTCATTCGAGAAATAAGCTTAAATTTCTCCTCAGCTTCAACTTGCTGTCGTATATCACATCCTGAAGATCTATCTGGGTGAAATTTCAGCAATGCTTTTCTGTATGCAACATGCACCTGAAACAAGAATTTATTCTAAGTAACACTTAACAAAGATGGAAGATATTTAGAGACTGAGCGTAAACAATTATTTATTTAGAGACGGAATGTAAACAAACCTCATGAATAGTGCCACCACCAACAGTGATTCCCAATCCACGCAGCAGTGATGCCATATCATGGCATGTCATTTCAAGCATACTGAGTTCCTTTCCAACTTTGTCTCGTATCCTCTCCTTCAATTTCATATTCTCAACGTCCTAAAAAGATTCATCAGCTAGTTTAAACAGTAGGAAAAATTCAAATAACACAGCAGGGAATAGAGACGCAAAGAAATATGAGATCAAAGAGGCTGCAAATATCCGCGAAATAGACAACAGAAGAGGCCAAAAGTTGTCATACCTTCTTTTTAGTTTCTCTCATTTCCTCCAAACGCTGCTTCTTTCTCTTCTCGAGTTCTAATAAACGATCACTTTCAGCCTTTTCTCTTTTTTGCAACTTCACCTTCTTCGCTTCTTCTTCCTGAGTATGTAAAAAGCACATCAGATCACAATACATCTTCGTACATACACAAATCTTACTTTCTTTTGGCAAATATAGCTTTTCCTCTGTGGTTGTACTTTTTTATCAGAAATTCTAGAACTTCAATCTTAATCTACAGCAATTGTCCAACCAAAACTCATAACGTAACGCTCCCCTTATATTTTCACATTTAAGAAAGACACATGACATGAAAACAACATATTACTACATGCAGCACATGATGTTTACTTCTATATCCATTACATTATAGCTAATGAGAGGAGAATTTTTCAAGTCCGTATAAGTAAACTACCAGTCCATTCCCTAACCAATGGTAGACTCTAACCCACTCCGACACAGTAAAAACATCTACTATATAAATAATTTTACTACAAAGTTACCATCCATCACCTTGAGCAGTAATCTTCTTTGGCAGTAGCAATAATATACGAAGAGAGATATAAACAACGCGATAGTTATAAGATAGGGTAAAGCTACGTGAAACCAGTGATTGATCCTTTCAAACCAATTCACAAGTGCTTGCCCACAAAAATCCTCCAGTATCACTAATGCTTGCCTGCTGAATCTTTTCAGCGTAACTAGCACTTGCCAACCAAAATTCTTAACCGTCAGTAGCACTTGCCAAGTGAAAATTTTGAGCCACAGTAACACTAGTCCACCAAAATTTACCAGTTTCATTAGCAGTTGCCCACCAAAATTCACCAGTTCCCGGCCTAAATTTACCAGTTTCATTAGCAGTTGCCCACCAAAATTCACCAGTTCCCGGCCTAAATTTACCAGTTTCATTAGCAGTTGCCCACCAAAATTCACCAGTTCCCGGCCTAAATTTACCAGTTTCATTAGCAGTTGCCCACCAAAATTCACCAGTTCCCGGCCTAAATTTACCAGTTTCATTAGCAGTTGCCCACCAAAATTCACCAGTTCCCGGCCTAAATTTACCAGGTTCAGTATCAGTTGCCAACAAATATTTAACAGCTTTGATAGCAATTGCTCACCAAAATTTACCACCTTGGGTATCAGTTCCCACCCAAAATCAACTAGATTCATCAGCAATCGCCCCGCAAAATTGACCAAATTCAGTAGCAATTCCCAACAAAAGTTTACCAGGTTCAGTATCAATCGCCCACCAAAATTTACCAGTTTCGGTATCCATTCCCCACCAAAATTCACCAGGTTCAGTATCAGTTCCCCGCCAAAATCTACCAGGTACAATACCTGTTTTCCAGCAAAATTTACCAGTTTTGGTAACTGTTCCGCAACAAAATTTAATAGTTGCCCAGCAAGATCTACCAGGTTCAGTACCAGTTTTCCAGCAACATCTACCAGGTTCAGTATCAGTTGCCCAATAAAATTTAATACCTTCGGTAGCAATTCCGCCCCAAAATTTAGTAGTTCTCCACCAAAATTTACCAGGTTCAGTATCAACCCCCAAACAAAATTTATCGAATTCAGTAGCAGTTGCCCAACAAAATTTATCACTTGTCCACAACCATTTATTACAAAATTTACCGATTTCATACTAACTACGTCAGGATCAAAAACTCGACTGGTGTGGAATTTAGCCAAACAAGACAGTGGACAATGACAAGAGTAAGTTGATGATAACAAAAATAAAGCTAACAAAGAACATATAAATTTAAATGGTTCGATCTGTGTGTATGATATGAATGCGTAATTTTTCCGCGTTTAGTTGAGTATTCATGTTCCCCAATTCCACATCTTTTTTCGCCTTCAAAATTGTTCACTTTTTCAATGTAGAATTTGAAAGTGAAAAGGACCGTCAATAAAGGCCAGAATTATAAAAAGACTAATTTAACCTTTTTTTCTTTCAAAATAAAACCAAAATTTCTAACAATATAGCAGCAAAATAAGAAACAATTTTATAATTTTTTGAGAAAAAAAAATACCTGAAAAAGAGCTCTGGGAAAAACACTCTTTGAGAATTGTCTAATGAAAAGTAAATCACAAAGACTACCAATCTTTTTTTTTTATAATCGAGAAATTTTTGAGGGCCAGTGACACACAATTCGAAAAAATAGTAGCAATAATTTTCCAAAGATCAGTACTCCCTCCGTTTCACAAAGAATGACCTGGTTTGACTTGGCACGGAGTTTAAGTAAATAAAGAAGACTTTTGAATCTTGTGGTCCTAAATTAAAGTTATGTCAAATGTACAAAATTGCCCTTAATCTTGTGGTCTTAAGCATGCCACGTGGAAAGCAAAAAGTAAAATGTTACCAAAAAAGGAAAGAGGTCATTCTTTTTTAAACTGACTAAAAAGGAAATGAGGTCATTCTTTGTGAAACGGAGGAAATACTACAATTTCTTAAACTTCTAAAAATATCTGTGAACATCCATTATTTAATGGACTTTATAATATGGGACCATTACAATCTAACTTCATCTTTTTTTAATTCTTCCTAGTTCATTCTTTTTTTCATCTTTTTCTGTAGTGATTTCTCTTTTCTTTTCCATTACGTGTAAAGCTAATTCTATTATACAAATTCTAATTCCATAAGATATTTTTCGATACAATTTATCAATTATTTTCTAATTTTGAACTTGTAAAATAACATTTATTTATTTCTATTATATACAAATCATCCAATTCTAAAATTAAGCACATAAAAAAAATATTTGTTCATATCTAACTTCATAACACAAAATTTGCTGGAGATAGTTTTCTTTATTTTAATTTCTTGATAGTATATTTAATACACTATCATCAATATTAAAAAATATATTATTTGATTATTTTTTCTTCACTAATATTCTCATTTGAATATCATATTTCATAATCATATTTTTAAAAATAAATAAAATAATTTTTATATGATATACTTTAAAGATTATTGTTTTCAGACAATAACAGATCTTTTTTTTTTAATAAAGTTTATGCTTTTATGTGAAAAATATAGAAAGACAAATTTGGAAGTCAAAGGGACTGTCAACATCTTTACAAATATATATTTCAATTATTAAATATAATAATATATAAATAAGTCATCTATTTCATTATTTTTTTTGTTAATACAATTCTTTTTACATAGAAATTGAAAAATTAAATTGAATTATAGGATTTCCAAAAGTAAAACTAAAACCTGAATTATTTTATGCTTTACTAATAATCTCTTATTAACTAGCAGAGGAGAGTGTTGTTTACACTTACCAAGACCATCATCTACATTAATCTCTCACTAATTAACTTCAAATATTGATCAACAAATAAATGAGAAAATAGATTGTAAAACTCATTTTTGTGATTTTTTTAATCCGTCCTAGGAGCTCCCACCTTTTTGCTTCTGACTCGAACTCACAACCTTTAGGTTGGAATTGAGGGTGCTTACCGTCCAAGCTGATACCGGAACAAAGATGTTGAGGAGGTGCAGTGATGGTGATCATGTTATTCTGATTGATGTTGAGTTGAGTGAAAGTTTTAGTAATGTTATTTTTATTGATGTCCCTGAATCGACACCTAAGAAGTTTCGAGGTGACATAATCTTCATCGATGATGAAAGCAATGATAATTGTATTACTACTCAAAGAGAAAGGATCAAAGAGACGTCTGAATACAAAAAGGCATTAGAGGAAGAATTGGCGTCTAGGCAAAAAGCGTTGGCGATTCAGGTGTACTTTGTACTGTTAAGTTTTGGTTTCCTGTTATGTTTTCGGTGTTCATTAGACTGTAACCTGTTGATAATTTGACTGTTGATGTTCTCTACTTTTGATTTATTGAGCCGAGAGTCTATTAGAAACAATCTCTCTACCTTCACAAGGTAGGGGTGCGTACACACTACTTTCCCCAGACTCCACTTGTGGGATTACATTGGATATGTTGTTGTTTTCTACTTTGTTTGCCTCCTTGTAGCTTATACGCTCCAGGGGTATCGGAATTACTGCAGCCAGGATGTAGAGAGTAAGATTGTAAGAGATAGTTAGATCCCTTTCTTTAAGGTCAATGAAACCTTCTCTCCCTTTCATGCTCATAAATTAGAAAATCAATTTATATATATGACCCTATTCTGGTTATTTATTTATTATTTGTATTTGATGCCGAGAGATCTGTTTGAGCCAACATTTAGGACCAACAGTAGCTCCTTCAAAACTCTGCAATAATGGGAATGTCCTTCTACCTTCCTCGTCTTAAATATCATACTTAGTTCGCATGGCTCAAGGCTCGAATCTGTAACTTAAACCCCAAAAATCATGAGGGGAGGATTGCCTAAGTATATAAGCACTAGTCCATTCCCGCTCTTCATGTCCAGGCCGAACTGGAGCGTGGACAAGGAGCCCAAACGGGGATGAACCTGACTCTAGTACCATGTAAATATATGACACATGTGCCAAATTACAGAGGAAAAGCTAAAATTAGCCAAAAGAAAGTAAGATTTACTGTTATCTGATGTGCTTTTACCTATTCAGGCAGAAGAAGCCAAGAAGTTGAAGCTGATGTTGAGAAGAAAGAAGGCTGAAAGTACGCGTTTGTTAGAGATTGAGAAGAGACAAATGCAGCGCGTGGAGGAAATGAGAGAAACTCAAAAGAAGGTATAACAACTTGGCCTCTTCTGTCATCTATTTCGCGGCTTTTTGCAGCCTATTTATCTTATATTTTTCTTTGTGCATCTCTTCCATGCCACTTATACTACCTCTGTGTTATTCTGTGTTTATACCATATTTGGATTTTTCCTACTATTTTAAACAATCTGATGAATCTCTTTAGGATGTGGAGAATACGAATTTGAAGGAACAGATACGATTTGAAGTTTGGAAGGAACACAGTAAGCTTGAAATGACATGCCATGATATGGCTTCGGTGTTGTGTGGATTGGGAATCACTGTTGGTGATGGTACTAGTCATGAGGTTTGTTTACGCTGATCAGTCTCTAAATATCTTCCATCTTTGTTTAAGTGTTACTTAAGAGTAAGATCTTGTTTCAGGTTCGCGTTTCTTACAAAAAAGCATTGCTGAAATTTCACCCAGATAGAACTTCACGATCTGATATACGACAGCAAGTTGAAGCTGAGGAGACATTTAAGCTTATTTCTCGAATGAAGGACAAATACTTACCAACTTTATGGCAACGGCATTAGGAGATAGAAAATCTAGTTACCCCTATCTTGTGAAGGTAGATAGATTGTTTCCGATATAATGAATCTGAATCTAATCCAATATAAGTGTATCTTCATAAGAGACATATTTCAAAAGTTAAAATTACTTGCACAAGCACCAAATATTATACAAATGTACCATTATTGATTTCATAGTATAATAGCTGGGACCAGTACACTTGCATAAGCAGCCATTATTATATACCAATATTGATTCCATATAATCATGGCATTTATTATAATCCTTATAATAGAAGACATACATAATAAAGATAAAGAAATGACCATCAGCAATACATAAGATATGAAAAATTGATAATATTTTAAGAGAAAAACAGTACACAGATTGAGACTTCTCACTTGCAATTTCATTTTTATAAGATGGAATTATTGTACACCAGTTTAGCATGATATGATCCATTGTAGACGTTGCTCGACACCCAAACTTTCATGGGCCACACCGTCTATTCATTGAGGTCTTTGTCAAGAGCAAAACAAGAATGGTGGTTTGAATTGCTATTGATGAAGCCAAAACCAATATCTGTATTTGTTTGTCTTTTAATTCAAGCTAATATTCTCAACCTTAGGCCATACATTAGAAAAAGGCGAAAAACCATAACCTTGAACTCTCAGGTCCATTCAATATCTTGATTCATAAAAGAAAACCGCGAACATCATTCATATGATGATGATGATAATCATTCTCGCGAGTTTTCTTTTCATTTCTTTGTTAGTTATCCTCGTTAGGATCGTTAAGAAGCTATTGTGGACTCCATTTCATGTACAATTTATGATGAGATCTCAAGGTATACAAGGTCCTTCTTACAAGTTCCTACATGGAAACTTCAAAGAGATTTTTGAAATTAAAAAAGAGTCCATAAACAAAGCCATGGATCACTTGTCACATGACATATTTCCAAGAGTTCTACCTCATATATTTTCTTGGAAGAAACTATATGGTAAATTTAAATGATTATAACACATTTTCTTGTTTTATTTAGTTTGTATTTTCTCTGTTTCTAATGTCACTTAACTATAGGGCCAAATTTTCTCTACTGGTATGGACTGCAACCTGAACTAGTAGTGACTGAACCAGAACTTCTCAAAGAAATACTGAGCAATAGAAACAACAATTATCCCAAAATGGATCTTGAAGGTTTTCCCAAGAAGCTTTTTGGAGACGGGGTTGCATCATCTAAAGGCGAAAAATGGGTAAAAATGAGGAAACTAGCCAACCATGTTTTTCATGGAGAAAGCCTAAAAGTAAGAATTTTGTGCAGTTTTTTGGTAAGGAAGTTCCTCTGCTTCCTCTAGTGCTAATTTTTTCGATAATGTTTGTGATTGTAGAGTATGATTCCGATGATGATTATGAGTTGTGAGACAATGCTCGAACGTTGGAAGATTTATGAAGATAAAGAAATTGAAGTGTTTGAAGAGTTTAGGCTATTAACATCAGAAATCATTTCCAGGACTGCTTTTGGAAGTAGTTACTCAGAAGGAAAGAACATATTTCAGATGCTAATGAAGTTAGCTTCACTAGTTTCCGGAAATGCTAACAAAGTTAGATTTCCACGCATCAGGTAAGTCCCTTCCTCCACGAGTTCAGCTTATCAACGACATTTGATCAGTTAAGCCAACATACTTGTTACATCTCGTGTAGTCAAATTTGGAAAAGCTATGATGAAATAGAGTCAGAGAAACTCGAGCAGGGCATACATGACTGCATTACTCGAATAATAAAGAAAAGAGAAGAGGAAAAGATTGGTGAAGACCATAACTTTGGAAGTGATTTCCTTGGAAAACTCCTAGAGGCTTATCAAGATAACAGAATATCGATAGACGATATCATTGATGAGTGCAAGACATTTTATTTTGCTGGTCACAAGACGACAACTATTTTGCTTGGATGGACAATCTTCTTGCTAGCTACAAACAAGAAGTGGCAAGAAAGAGCAAGAAAAGAAGTTGTTGAATCATTTGGCCACAAAGTTCCTAATGCAGATGGCCTATCAAGACTGAAAATTGTAAGCAATTGTTTATTATCGGTTTCAATACTTCTATTCAATTACGTAACAGTTTTCAACATTCTTTGATCAATGTAGATGAACATGATTCTTGATGAATCTCTAAGATTGTACCCTCCAGTGCCATTCATAAAAAGGAAAGTTGACAAGAAAGTTGAGCTAGGAAAGCTAACTTTACCACCTGAAATGCATTTCTATATATCAGCATTAGCAGTTCAACATGATTGTAAAATATGGGGAGAAGACGTTCATGTTTTCAAACCAGACAGATTTGCTGAAGGAGTAGTTAAAGCTTCAAACAACAATCCAGTAGCATACTTGCCATTTGGCTATGGACCTCGAACTTGTTTAGGCTTGAACTTTGCAATGACAGAAGCAAAAATTACTCTTTCGATGATCCTACAACGTTATATGTTTACGATTTCACCAACTTATGTTCACTCTCCTGCTGATCTTTTTATGCTTCGTCCACAGCATGGAGTTAAAGTCATTCTTCACAAGATTTAAGATGTATATAAAGATGGAGTGGGATTGAGTTTAAACTGAAGTATAATTGTACTTATATTTGTCCAAGCAAATAAAACTATGTATTTATTTGAAATGTCTGTTGTGTTCAACAATCTTTTATGAGCAAAAGAATCTTTTACAATAAAAATCCATTGAATATGAACTATTTAAAGATTAAAATTCAGCTACTCCATCCATTTCAATGGAAGTGTCACCTTGGTAAAAATCACGACGAATATAAACTTGACCTTAAAATCAACTAAAGTCACATAACCAGTGACCAATGATTTAAAAAAAAAAAATTGAAAAAATTACAGCCTTGGTTGAGCAATTCCTGAAAGCCATCTCAACAATGGAAGAACAAAATTACATTAACGAAAAACATAAAGAAATGAGCAAAACTAAACCTGGATATAAAAAACTTTTCTGCATTTTAGTCCAGTTTTCCATATGATGGGAAAAGTTCAAGCATTGAAGGCCTATACACAAAATTTCCATCCTAAAATATAATATCTTCCCTGAGAAAAAACTACATTTATGTCCTATGTCATTTTCATAAAGTTGGTAAGTATTTATCCTTCATTTGAGAAATGAGCTTAAATTTCTCCTCAGCTTCAACTTGCTGTTGTAAATCAGATCGTGAAGCTCTATCCGGGTGAAATTTCAGCAAGGCTTTTCTGTAAGCAACGCGCACCTGAAACAAGAATTTATTGTAAGTAATGTCTCTTGTGTTATATCCCTCAACTGTTACTAACACTTCACGAATAGTAATAGAAGAAAGAGACGGTCATACGGAGAAGATAGTAAGACAACTCCCAAAATCCTAGGTAAAAACAAGAAATGAGAAAAGTGGCTGCATGTCCTGACAACTAGCTTTCCTAAATAAGTGGCATGTTGAAATATGAGTGTGGATGTGAGAGCCGAGTCTCAACACAGGTTAACAACAGCCAGCACAATATAAGACGAGACAATATTGGGAGAGAGAAAAAAATGGGAACATAATCAGAAAGCAAACCAAAACACTAAAAAGGAATAATAGCTTGAAATGACATGCCATGATATGGCTTCGGTGTTGTGTGGATTGGGAATCACTGTTGGTGATGGTACTAGTCATGAGGTTTGTTTACGCTCAGTCTCTAAACATCTTTCATCTTTGTTAAGTGTTACTTAAGAGTAAGATCTTGTTTCAGGTTCGCGTTGCTTACAAAAAAGCATTGCTGAAATTTCATCCAGATAGATCTTCACGATCTGATATACGACAGCAAGTTGAAGCTGAGGAGACATTTAAGCTTATTTCTCAAATGAAGGATAAATACTTACCAACTTAATGAAAATGACATTAGGAGATAGAAAATCTAGTTACCCCTATCTTGTGAAGGTAGACATACTGATTTTGATATAATGAATCTGAATCTAATCCAATATAAGTGTATCTTCATAAGAGACATATTTCAAATGTTAAATTTACTTGCATAAACACCAAATATTATACAAATGTACCATTATTGATATCATAGTATAATAGCTAGGACCACACTTACAATAGTCGCCACTAATACATTGTTTTAGTGGCAACATTAGTCGCCGCTAACACTTATAATAGTTGCCACTAATACTATGTTTTAGTGGCAACATTAGTGGGCGCTAATACTTATAATAGTCACCACTAATATTATGTTTTAGTGGCAACATTAGTCGCCGCTAACACTTATAATAGTCGTCACTAATACTATGTTTTATTGGCAACATTAGTTGCCGCTAACACTTATACTAGTCGCCACTAATACTAGGTTTTAGTGGCAAATGTAGTCGCCGCTAATACTTATTATAGTCAACACTAATACTACTTTTTAGTGGCAACAGTAGTCGACGCTAATACCTAAAACAGTCGCCACTAATACTACGTTTTAGTTCAACAGTAGTCGCCGCTAATACTACTTTTAGTGGCAACAGTAGTCGCCGCTAATACGTAAAACAGTCGCCACTAATAATATGTTTTAGTGGCAACATTAGTCGCTGCTAATACTTAAAATATTCGCCACTAATAATATGTTTTAGTGGCAACAGTAGTCGCCACTAATAATATGTTTTAGTTGCAACATTAGTCGCCGCTAATACTTAAAATAGTCGCCACTAATACTATGTTTTAGTTGCAACATTAGTCATTGCTCATACCTATCAAGACTGAAAATTGTTAGCATTTGTTTATTATCAATGTCAATACTTTTATTTTATTACATAACACTTTTCAACATATTTTGATCAATGTAGATGAACATGATTCTTGATGAATCTCTAAGATTGTACCCTCTGGTACCATTCATGAAAAGGAAAGTTGAGCTAGGAAAAGCTAAGTTTACCACCTGAAATGCATTTCTATTTATCACCATTAGCAGTTCAACATGATCGTAAAATATGGGGAGAAGACGTTCATTTTTTCAAACTAGATAGATTTGCTGAAGGAGTTGTTAAAGCTACAAACAACAATCCAGTAGCATACTTGCCATTTGGTTATGGACCTCGAACTTGTTTAGCCTTGAACGAAGCAAAAATTACCGATGATTCTACAATGTTATATGTTCATGATTTCACCAACTTATGT